TTAATATAGTTTTATAATATTTTATTATTTCACACCGTGGTGGAATAATTGTGTTATAAATAACCTGTTTAGATTGCATTTTTAATGAAATTTTATTGTGATTATGATAAAAAGAAAATACAAATGTCTCATAATTAACAGTTGCGGCATGTTTCGTAAAAAAATCGGATCCTATTATACCATGTACTTCGTTATCAAAACTATTAATCAGCAAAAATTCATGACCAACATTACTATTTTCTAGTTGCAAGGTCAGGTTTACCACACCTGTTGTTACTGTGGATCCTGATATTCCATTAATATTAATTTTCTTTGAATAATCTATAAACTCATCTGATTTCAAACATTCGGTAAATAAAATACTAACTGATGCTCCAGTATCAAGTAACATTTTTAACAAAGTATTTCTATAAGAAACGTATATAAAATTTAATGAATTAATATTTAAAACTGTATTTTTAACATTTGCTTTCTCTTTGGTCTCGAAAAAACCAATTATTTGACGTCGATGGATTACCATTATCGAAATTATTTGTGTCCCTACTGTTACTAGCATAGTTATTTGTATCGGTACTGTTACTGTTACTAATATAATTTACTCTTGTATTATTCCTATATCCTGATTTATTAAATTTTCCTCTATTTGAATATTATTTTCCATTATTATACTTAGAGTGAGGCTGTCTATTGTAGTAATTGCTATTATTATTTTTAAAATAATTCTGAGAGCGAAAATTAGACTGTTGATTATTCACTCTGTAATTATGATTATTATCTCTAAAATTGTTGTTATTAAAATGTGTTCTAGGTTTCGCTCCAAAATTATGATATGTGGTATTATTAGTACCTCGTCTTATCTGAAAAACTTCCCTTGCATTCGGTAACATTTCATCTTTGGCTCCTTGAATAGCCTCGGCCAATGATAAATAATTTCGCGCTTTTATTATAGTTCTTAGTTCACTATTTTCTAAACCATTACTGAAAGAATTTATTGCAATTTTTTCATTTACTGATTTAAGAACTTTTAGTGAATTTTCGTCCCCATCAGCTTGAGCTATTGTGAGATTGACAAACATTTCTTCTAGCACCCTACCAAACTGTTCAATAGATTTTCCATTTTGTTTAAAATTATTTAATTTAGTAGATAAAGCAGGCACTGACTTTTTACTAATAAAATGTTTACGTAAATCTGTGATTAAAGCTAAATTTGATACGTATTGTTTATTTAATCTAACTTTTGCACTTTCTGAAAGTCGCGTTTTTAAAACGAAAGTTGTTAACAATTTTTTACCTGGCTCATCTAATAAAGCGTCATAGAGTTCAATTGAATCGATTAATTGTTTTGTATTATTCTCAGTACCATCCATTGACGGTATCAAGGTAGATGCCACTCTTAATTCAAATTTTTCAGACATTTCGGAAATTAATATTTGATTTGAATCTATTTCTCCTAATCTACTTTCTAATGTTTTCTGAGCTAGACAAATAGTATTATTTATTTCCTGGTAATATTCTAATATTTTACTATCTAAATCTTTATCCTTAACAATATGCTTTAAAGAGTTAAAATCTTGTTTAAATTTATCTAGCTTAGCTAACTTGTTTGTAACAATATTTATATCCTTACGTCTACTATTACTATCCTTAATTAAATTCTTGTAAAATACCTGTACTTCTTCATTTAATTTTTCACATAGTTTAATTACCATTTCTTTATTAATGACCTATATTTAGCTGCCATTCGTTATATTTAACTTTTCTTTAATTCCCATTTCTATTTTTGCATTCCATTCCAATAATAATGTACCATATACCTAAAATATACCTAAAAGAAAGCTTAAATGTTTTCTTGGCTTGCCCTTATTGTCGATCTTGTTACTTCTGTTCTTATTTTCCTTTCCAACTTCTTCTTAAGTTTTTGATAAAAGTAAACTAGTATAAGACTTAGCACCGCTATTACAAAAATTCCTTCGCAAACATCCTTTACTGACCAATTTCCAATTTTACTACTTGTTTCGCTAGTTTGACCTCCACTGTTTCCTGATTGTGCTATGATAATTTCTTCTTTTTGTTCCTTTGATTGATTACTTCCAGCCATTTTTCTTCATCTAACTAATTTCATTTTTATACAACATTTTTTTTTTAGCAGGATCGCCATGTAATGTTAGGACAGGAGACTATCTTCTATTTATATAATGAAACCAAAGTCGAATCGAATATATATCATCATTTATTTTTAACTTGAATATGGGTTACATTTCAAAGAATTACTGCATTCCTTCTTTCATTGAACCTTGCAGTCTATATTGGAAAAACTATCTAATTAAACAAATTACCTCATATTGCTTAGGTGTCAAAATACAGGTAACCTACTTAATTGCATAGTTCTTCGTTAACAATAATTAGATACAATATTATGATTTATATTTACAAATATTAAAATTATACTTAAGCCTATTTTAAATTTAATAACTAAGGCCGGCATTACAACAGCATATGTCGAGAAGCCTATCCTCGTTCGACAGACTGCGATTCTTACGATTCTTATATAATGTCTCTCTCTATTCAACACGTAACGTGTCGAGTTCGCACATAAGAATCCCTGTGCAGGTCATTAAAGTCATTATTGACGTCAAATACCCTAAGGCCATTCCGAATAACTAACTGACGTCAACGATACATAACGAAGACAAGGTACCAAAAATCCAATGACGGAATCATGACAATGTCGGAATCATGACAATGTATAAAAAATGTTTCGAGTAAGATGTGTGTAAAAAATATAATATATTTAATTCATACTCTTAACATTTACAGGGATGATACAATAGGTTGTACAAAATAACCAGAAAAAGCCTGTAATTACTGGACATGAAAGTCATGTGTTGGGTACATCAGATTTTTTAATAAGATGAATAATTAATAGAAACCAGGTTGTGTATGTTGTTGAGATCATAAGCAGAACTAGTGCTGCGAGGGACGGCTCATTATTTGACCTTGGCGTTCCTGGGCGACTTACATAGGATATTTTGTTGCCGTTGGACTTCAGGTGAGAAAACCTCACTAATCATAATAAACACAATAATCCATTAATTCTGTAAAACAATACTTTTAAAACTTTACAAAAAAAGGAAAAAATAGAAGGCATCATGCAGTGTTTGTATTATTTAAATGAAATAAAACTATCTAGTCTTTTTTGGTGAAATTTCCCATTTATGAGCTTCTGTAACATGTTGCCTTTTTTTATTACTTGGCAAAAATTAAGTAGGAATAGCATTCTAATTAAGCAGTTTTATAAAATTCAAAACAAAATTTCTCAAAATGCTTTGAACGTATTTTGAATCATTTTCCGGACCTAAATTGTCTTTACTTGATCTTTCAATGCTTTCAATCATTCTATTTAATTTTAAAACCGATAAAAGTGTATAATTATATGACTACATAAAATACATATTTCAATAAAGAAATAAATAAACTAATAATAATTAAATACGGTTCTGTTGTTCTGCTGTTGTTTTCCGGGATTATTTCGTCTGTTGGGACACAGTAATACTAAATAAGATTTAACCAGTGTTTAAAAAATGAATCAAAATAACGTATCAAAACTTTATGATTCGCAAAAAATTGCTAATAAAAAGTGACAATTAAATGTCAAATGTCAATGCCAACAAGGTATTCATTTTCCTTTTCCCCCCACCACTTAATGTTTAATCGTGTTTGTAAATGAAAATAATTTTCAATAGTTTTATTACTCATTTTCTGACAACAAACTTTCAATAACTGAGGTAAGAAACAAATTGCTATCAAATTTGAAAGCAAATATTAAGTTAGGTACATACTTTCTCGTTTTAAGATATTCGAGATTATGAATAATGTGCTGCAGAGTGCACAGGTCATGAATTTTGATCTGGCATACCGAATAGAGAAACATCCATTTATTTTGATAGACACATTGTTGATAGTGGAATCAAATATCTATCAAAACAACATGTTTTTTAACGCATTTGAAGTAATCGTTCCATGAAATGTTAATCCAACAAAAAATAAAACGTAATCAAACCAGCAAAAACGCATTTACTTTAGACGACACCACAGAAAAAATCGGAAAACTAAGTTGTTTACGAGAATCTCTCAGTACATAAAAAAAACTATGAAATCCTGAGGCGTATCAAGAAAACTTTTTATTTTTAAGGGAAAATAATTGAGTCTGAATGCTTTGAATAAGTTACACTATTTTAATTTTATCATTTTAATTAGATTTTATAAAATTGCTGTGTATAATCTACGTAAAAAAGAGGCAGAATTGTTGATTTAAATTAAAATATATATTGTAGTGTTTATTTATTTTAAAACAGTTTCTTATTTTAATTTACTTATATACCTATGATAATTTCTCACTAAAAATAATAGGACCGTAGAAAGAATGTTGTGGTAATTTTGAACAAAAATTTCGTTGCCGCTTTTGACATATTTCTTTTTATTTCAAGTGGCAAAGTATCACTTTTCGCTCTTAATACACAAATATCTATTACGTATATTTTACAATATCTATAATAATTTATGAGAGATGTAGATGAGATAACTTTATTTGTTTGGCAGTTCTGCTGCTCTACAGCACTTATGCACCAGCCGCCACTGGATGGTAAATTAAATAGTAGATATTATTAGTTTATTGGAGATCCTGAAAATAAATGAAGAAATACTTAATAATGGAACAACTGGAGAGGACCCGAAGAATGTATTGTGTTTCTAGACTCAATCCAATACAGGCGTTTGTACTGGGGTGGGTAATAATTCGCGTTATAAGCGCTGAGAATCCTACGAACTCTATACCCTTACAGTGCAAAGAAGCGTGAATCGTCTTGGTATATTCTTGATATAGCACTGATGCGGCCCATTTAAGTTTTAAACATCAACGCACCTACCGTTGATGTAAAGTCCACAAGTGAGCTGCACGGGTGTACACTTGGATATAAATACACGTTCAAATGTCAAATAGTGTCTAAAGAAATCACTCCGCTAATGGCAGCACAGTACTTATAATTGTCATTTCTGTCAGTGTCTCTGTCACTTCTGTCAAATAAACGTCAATACAATATTGTCAATTGAGATGAATCTTTTGGCTTATTTTCTTGAATATTTGTTGTTATTAATTTGTTGATATTTGTGTGAAATATAAGTAATTTAGGACTTTTTTAAAGATGGTTAAGTGTTGTGTACCTTTGTGCAAAAACTCGCCAAAAGGCTCGAAAATGCACATTTTACCTAAAGATAAAAAAGTGAGTTAAAATTTTACAATGTTTTTTACTTGCATATTGTTAATATTTATAATCGTTTCAGATACGCATCCAGTGGTCTTTGGCATTGGACAAGAAAAACTTAATTGATGTAGAATCAAAAGAAGAACGTCAAAAATACAGAGTTTGTTCTGCTCATTTTGAACAAACAGCTACATTTATATCTGTACGCAACAAGACAAATTTAAAGTATGACAGTATTCCAACATTATTTTTACCCTGTAAGTTTATATCATTTACAATACAATACTTCTACAGTATTTTATAAGAGTACATTATATTTTGGCCTTTTGTTAAGGTTTCATTGCTTCCATTATACTTATTTTTAATTTGTCGTTTTAGGTTCGTCTACCTCCTTACCTAATTCTTCTAGTTGTGAAGCAAGCGCCCCTATGGAAATAGGTATTTATTTCTTTTTTTCTTTAGTATTTGATATTAATTCATTTTTTTTAGATTCGCTCACCACTACTTCTGTTCCATCTGCTGTTATACCCAATTCTAATTTAGAAATGGATAATAAACAGACTTTTGGAAGGACGATATCACAAGTAGCAACAACTCGTAAAGGTGATAAATTTTTTAACTTTATTATTAACAAATTATTAAATTTGAATAATGTTCTTTTTGCTTGTTCTGTTAATTTTAATTTATTGGAATATTTGCTATAAAATTTTTTCTTTATTATTTTACAAGAAAAAAAATGTTTTTGTAATCATTTATACTTATTATATTATTTTAGTATCCATTTAATTTGTTGTATTTTGTGTAAATACATTTAATTTGGAAATATTATCTAATTTTCCCTTTTGTTGATACTAGATCTTAGAAGAAAGAGTAGCATATTAGCATCTGTTGGAATGAGGCAAAGATTTGTTCAGTTGACACCTAAAGCTCAAAAGTTCTATCGTATGGCAAGAAATTTACAAAAAATTGCAAAACGATTGGATTACAAGAATATCGACAACAAGAAACGAATTCAGGCTGCAATTAAGTATGCAGAGTCGGGAGACTTTATGATACCATTGGTGAATAAAACCACCTATAACTTCATACTAAGCCAAGTGAAAATGCAAAAGAAAAAACCTAAAGGTAGACGGTACTCTTTAGATGATAAAGTGTTTGCTTTGTCTCTCCTGAAATAAAGCCCCAAATGCTTTAAATTGCTGAGTGAGACTTTTTGTTTGCCTTCAAGAAAATCTTTGATGCAATTATTAAAGAAAATACCTTGTGATTGTGGCTTAAATCCATACATTATGGATAGTCTTAGAGAAGTTGTCTGTAATATGAAAGAATCGCACCGTTTATGTGCGTTAATTTTTGATGAAATGTCTTTAACACCATCCATCAATTATAAAAGAAACCATGATGCAATCCAGGGGTTCGTTAATTGTGGAGATGGCGCTAGAATGCAATTTGCTGACCATGCTATGGTCTTCATGGCGAGAGGAATTTGCAGAAAATGGAAACAGCCTATTGCGTACTTTTTAACAAGTGGCGCCATGAAATCCACTGATATTGTCCGCAATTTAAAAATAATCATTGCTTCCCTTGGAAATATTGGTTTACATGTTGTAGCAACAATATGTGACCAGTATGCAGTCAACTCTTCTGCAATAAATAATTTAATGGAAGAAACGAGGAGAAATTATTTAATGAGAGGAGAAGAAAAACGCAATTTCGGCTTCGAAATAAATGGACAAGAAATTGTTTCCCTTTTTGATCCCCCCCATTTATTGAAGGGAATACGAAATAATTTTGTTAACGCGCAAGTAGAATTTGTTTGGAAAGGGGTAAACCGTAAAGGATCATATAGCGTAAGAAATGGTATGTATATAATTTTGTAACTAATTAAATTTTTTTTGCAACTATGTATTTTTCAACAGGAAAAGAACGTCCCTTCCTGAAGCTGAAGGAACAGCTGAGTTTCTCATTCTATTTGATCAACTATTCGATAGTATTAATGGCTCTACTGTTACCCCTGAAAATTGAAAAGTGCTAAGAGCAGCAGTTAACGATAAATCCCCTCACATCGGTTTTTGGGAAGAATCCATACGTGCGCTCAGTACAGTTAAATTTATTGACACAAAAGGTAAAATTCATGTTCCGCCAAGTGTAAAAAATTGGATGAAAACACTCCATGGCTTCAAATACATATGGAATAAAATAAAAATTTCAAATTCCAATCCAGGTGGTCTTCAATACCTGTGTTTAAGAAATTTAAACCAAGCCCCTTGGAAAATTTCTTTGGGTGTATTCGAAGTCATGGAGTACGAAACATCAACCCCACATGTGAGTCGTTCGTAAACTCCTACAAATCGCTAATAATAAACAATTTTGCATCGAGCCATTCTCCAGGTGCAAACTGCGAAAGTGATGACAACGTTGCGTTGAACAATTTGAAACGGTTTATTATTAATTCAAACGAGTTCGAAACAAAATTGTGTGATGAAATATCGACGGAAGTGTTTCAATTTAGTCAAATTTACAATGATACAACAGTACAGACACATTCGTACATAGCCGGATATGTGGCTAAAACTACATTGAAAATAATAAAACAATGCAATAATTGTAAGTGCCAACTGGTTTCTTCGACTTCTTCGCCAAATTCTTTAATTAATCTTTTAGAATACCGTCCCAATGCGTTACTAAACCCCAATACTGTTTTTGTAAAAATATTTTCTCAATTAATAGAATTAAGTACTTGTATATTACCAAAAATTATAATTATAATATAAAGGCAGAATAAAAGCAACATTAATGTCTATTGCAGAAAAATCAATAAATGTTAATGTTATTTGTGAAAAACATAATTTGTTATTCATATTTTTCGATATATTTTTTTCATTTTTTTATATATACTTATGTAAGAAATATTAATTTAATTTTAAAAGGTCAATGCCGGTCCACACAAATTAATGATGTTATTAAAAAAATGACACACGAAAAGTTTTTAAAAACTAAATTTAGAAAAAATAGGACTTGAGATTTTATATTAATTTACTATTTTTTTTTAAACAAGTGTTGTTTTATTTAATTTATGTTTCTTATAATTTAAAATTCGATTTAATTGTTATTAAGTTAAATTTGAAACAGTTTTAAATTGTAAGAAACATTACAAAATACATAATTAAAAATTCTTTTCAATTTTCACGGAAAAAAAGTTGCAATAGTTGTAAGTCACACCACCGGAGGCGCTACCTATGCAAACGATGAAACGGCAGGGAGTTTACCATCTATAAAATATGTTATCTGTGGTGAGCCGTCAGATTTACTGGCACGTCTTTTTGCGTGTTGTTCGATTTTTGTTCAGTAGCATCCACGGTCTGAAAATTTTTCTCAAAGCGTTTGTTATACTTGTTTTTATTTTTCGGAGTTTCTTTTAAATTTTGATTTGAGTTGTACGATATGGCTTTCTGGAGACCTTTTGAGGTAAATGTAGATGCTAATGAATTGCAGGTTAATAATGAAATTCTAATAAATATTGAAATTCAGAATAATGATGAAGTACAATTAAATATAGTACAATTGATGAAATACGTATTAATAATGCAATTCATACTAATGACAATCAAGGTATAACACAATCTTGGGAATTCCAAAATCAGGACTTACATATTCAAGTTCAACAGTACATTTTAAATATGTTTGTTAAATCAGAAAATCTAAATATTTCACAAACAGATGCAGTTAAAAGAATATGCCAGTTAACAAAAATTCCCTTTTCCACAATTTATTTCGTTATTAAACGAGGCGATGTGATTGAACACTCTGAAAAAAGAAAACGTATCATCAGCCGTCGGATAGATGATGTATCTAAAAATGTGATTGGATGAACAGTTTACAACACGTATAAAAAAAAAACCTAGTTCCAACTTTGGAGATACTTTTTAGAAAATTACAAGATTTTGAAGATTTCAAATATAAATTATTAGAATTACTTCGTCAAATTTTAATAACTTGTGGTTTTAGATATAAAAGTTAGATAGTCGAATAGGCATTATGGAATCGCATCGAATTGTGGAATTACGTCAAATTTATTTAGGGGAAATTTTTAAATTTAGAAATAGCAATAGAAATATAGTTTATTTAGATGAAACATGGTTCGACACTCACGATGTCGTTCAACGTAGTTACATGCCGGAAATGAAAATGGCTTTGTACCAAACGCTTTGCTACTTTCAGCAAAAAAATATCAATAATGCTCTGCATGATTATCATGAAGATATGAATGCAGCAGTTTTTGGGAAATGGTTTGCTAAACAACTTTTACCGAATAATTCACATAATTCAGTCATTGTAATGGATAATGCGCCATATCATTCCCGGCAAATTCACAAGAAGCCAAATAGTGGCTCTAAGAAATCGGATATTTAAAAAATAATATTGATATTCCTGCTTCCGTAAAAACAAAACCACAATTGTTAGAAATTGTTGAAAGTAAGAATATTCCAATACAGTTATATTGATAATTTTGCAAAAGATGGTGGTCATACTGTATTGAGGTTACCACCATATTATTATATACTTAATCCAATTAAATTAGTTTGGTCCTCAGTTAAAAAAACTGAGACGTAATAATTTTGAACTTACCTTGACAAATGTGGTACATTTTACTTGTCTATTTATGTTTTATAATTTAATAATCAGTTGTAGCAAGTTAACGAGCTATAATAATGATTTTTTTTAAGTTTCAAGTAGAACTACAATTAAGTTCATCTGTCTAAATAACGGCGTATAATGCCGTCCAATTTATAATGATTCGATTGCCTTTCAACGAATACTTCATTGCATATGATATATTTTTAAAAGTATTTATAAAATGAGGTATATACCTGTCAGATCAAATAAAATTGTCGGTAAGGGTTCGGAACGAGCTTTTATATTCTGCAATTTTATTAATAAAAACGGTACGCCCATGTGCGCGGTCCTTTTGTTATGTCGTGTTGGATTGTGTCTAGAACGACACTAGAAAACCTACTCTTTTACTCGTTTTTTCCTTTTAATTGTGCCACACATGTAGGGTTGCCAGAAGTCACGCTTTAGGCGTATTTTCCACGCCTTTTGACTTGCTTGTACGCTTAACGCCACAGTACGAAAATGTCCCGCTTTTGAGAAAAATGCAACTATTTTTATGCAACTGCCACGCTTTTCACGCTTTTTACTATGAAGACCTATTTTTTATTTTTTTAGATAAGATAAATATAGACAGACTAAAGGACCCTCGTTTACGAAAAATACAAGCTGAGGAACTTTTTTTTTTAGAAATTTCACAAATAATATGGATCTGATTATTGTAAAAATGCTTGGGTATTTGAACCTGATGCTCTGTCGTCACAGTTTTAATGCTTTTCACTTTCGTAAATCTGGCAACCCTACACACATGGCAGACATCAGAATTTGAAAACTATTTAAAAGCCAATGTAGACTTTTAGACTGGGCCGGTATGTATCAAATATTAGTGTTTTTAAAATGCAATGCATTTGTTATAGAGCCCATTTTATGCACTGATTTAACATTTCACTAGATATATTTTTAATGTGTTTAAATTTAATACGTAATTTGTTTTCCCAAAAATGTGCTTCATATTTTACTTTTAATTATATAGCTGTACGCACGCCATTGAAGAAAACTACCCAAAAAGTATCGTATGGCCAACGTCTCATCG